TTTAGTGGTTTGGGGTTGGCCAGGCTCAAGCAGCCACAACTGCCACCAAAAGTTGTTGTGATTTTTAGTATGGGGCCTTTGTGTAATCATCTATTGCTTGCAAAACGTTCAACACAGTCCACACAAACGTAATGTGTGTTTAATCTTCAAAATCAAGGGATCACTTTCCCAAAGAAATGCTTTCCACATCAAACTCACGTTCCCCTCTCTCTAACCCTGCTGTTCATGTAGAATGGCCCTAAATCTACAGGCTGATGTGAGTGGAAGCTGTTGATTGTCCACACAGGGCATGATGCTGTGTTGTTCTTATTCTCCCACAACTCTTTATCCCAACTTTCCTCTTCTCCAATTGCATTGATCCCACCTGGATGGTTTTTGTCTGGTTAACTGTGGATGATGTAGTAATTGCTCCTTGTTCCTTCATCCCACTGCTTCTTGAATTGATCAACTGTCAGTGTGTAGTGCCACCCAACTTGCTCCCCAATGTTGATGGTGATGAGAAAGTAGGTTTGATAGAGCAGACCCTTAGCTGTTGTTGCATCACTTTCTACTCCCAAAATCTGCTCTATCTCCTCTGAGCTCAAATTCTTCACCTTATTTGTTGACCATGCCCCTTCTTCTTGAAGCTTCACTACGTAGCCATCAATCACTCAATATGCATCAGAGAACATCAGATCCTTCCAGAAGTCATGTCAAGTTGAATGCTGTTGATTGTAGACATGAACCAGAGCTGATATCCCAGTGCGCAGTGAAGCTGGACTGTACACCTTCCCATTCTTCTTCCATGCTGCCACAGCAAATGGACCAAGTAATGCTGCAATCTCCTCTATCCTCATCTCTTCAAATCTTTTCCCATCTTTCTGTCCCTTCTTCCAACTATTAAATATCCCAAGCCAACACTTCTCTGACAAAAGAGTGTTGCTTCTCACCATATATTGCCTTAACTTATCAAGCTCATCTTCTCCAACCTCCTTGAACCTCTCCTCCACCTCCATTACTGTTTTTTTCGTCCCCTCATGAGATAAGCTGTGAAATCGCCCTCTCCTGGAGGGCCTTTGACCAAAAACTTGTGGTCATTTGAAATGAGAGGTCACAAATGACCATGGAAATTTTGTTGTGCTAAAATTGTGTGAGATTTGACATTTTTGATTGATAGGGCAGTTTTGAAGATTTGGATCTGAATCTTTGATATTGACATGCCATACTGCTGCTTATAAGTGATATTGAGGGACTTGAGATGAAAAAGATTTGATAAAAACTTGGAATGTGTGGAGTTAAAAGTGATTTTATCTGTGTCTGATGGTGGAATTTTATCTTCAGGAATAGTGCTCCAATTCAGCCCAAATGTGGTGAGGTTGGCCACGAACTGGATGTGAGACTAGCATGGTGGCCAATGATAATGGAATTGATGGAGGGTATGAAAGCCAAAGGCATGGTGCATTTTGAAGTTGTTCAGCAGTGGAGCACTAACCACAAAACAAGCTAAGTTCAGATTTTCTGGATTATGTACATGTGCACAATAAACTTAGTACCAGCAGGTTGAACATGTAGTCATTGTGTATGCGTACACAATAAAATGAGTGTCCTGTTTTACAGTTTTTGTCCATGTAGGTGCAAGTCACCCTGCTGCCACCAGCCATGGCCAACAACAAGGAACTTTTGAAGCTCCTGCTGAAGGAGGTTACTGCCCCATTGCATATATATGCTATTTCCAAAGCCCATTATGCTATGAAACTGCAGGACATGTATCCACCCAAAAAATATATATCCAGACACTCACTTTTGTTGCATACATGTATGTGTATGCAGGTTATCTGGGCTGAGAACAACAACACATCACAGTTCAAAAGAACCAGTACCAGAGCAGTGCTGTCAGGTGTGAGTGCAGAAAGGGTTGGCTTGGAGTTATTCCAGAATAACTTGCAACAGCAGAAAAGCAAGCCAGTTTTGGCAACAGCAACTTATTCTGGAATAAGTGAAGTGCCCTTCTCTTACACACCATCACATCTCTGGCCCATTAAAGTACTACCTCATTAGTGGGGGAACACTGTGTCCAGAAAAAGGTGATAGTGGTACTTTTTAATGAAACTAAAAACAGGTGTACAGGAGATAAAAACACTGTGGAATTTGAATGTACACAGAGAAGAGAAGTTTTATTTACAGGTGTCTAAATATTTCTTGAAGGGTGGGTGGGGGGAACTCTGGTGTTGGCATTAAAGTCAAAGCCACAAGCTAAAACAGACCCCATTGGAACAGTGCTTTCTGAGCCATGGTCAGTCCAGCGTCCATTAGCAAAGTTCCACCAGTGGACATGGAGCCTCTTATGGAGAATGCTGATGATCTTGCATA